AAACTAAACAGCCTACAGTATTTTTACAGTCTTTATTTTACAGTTAAAATATATGTTTATTAAATAAAGTCTAATGTTACAACTAATCATGGATCTCTTTAAAAAACTCCTCCCACTAAAGTCAAAAAGACCAATCACGTCTGGGACAACCTCCTCCCACACACCAAGAGCCTCTTTGTAACTGCAGAGACCCCTTTCTCAAATCATCCGCAAACAGTGTGACTGAGAATAAATATCATTTCAGCATGACTCACATAGAAGACCTGCTCTCGCATCGATGGCGTGTCAGGAGGACTCTGATTGGACAGCAGTCGTTTGGAAACTGTACTGCAGGACGTCGTCTGATCATCCTTATCAAAAGGACTGAAACAGGAAGAAAAAAACAATAAAGAGTGAGTGTTTTCAACAACAACAGCTGTAGATCAGAGAGGTGTGTGYGTGTGTTTGTTTCTGCTACAGAGTGAGGACCCTGTTAGGTTTTTTAACCAACTAAGTGAGGTCATTTTTGGGAAGTGAGGACATTTTCCCAGTCTTCACTTTTTTTTGCAGTTAGTTTTAGAGGTATGGTGTGAGAAGTTTTGGTTCAGGTTATAGACCAGTAATGGTTAGTTGTAGGGAAAATGTCTGGGTTAGGCATAAATACAGTTACAAAAATGAATGGAAGTTAATATAATGTCCTCAGTTTGATGTAAGTACAAGAATGTGTGTGTGTGTGTGTGTGCGCGCTCTGCAGGTGAATGACCTCCAGGTAACCTCCAGGTTCAGCTTGACCGTCCCCAGGTCGTTGATGTCCACGGCGAGCGTCTGCGGGAGCGGGCAGAACAGGTCGAGCATCTCACAGGACACGCTGCCCACCACCACGTGATTGGCCAGGCTCTTCAGCTCCGTCACCTTGACAACCACAAAAACAAGCAAAAGCTCTGAGGGCGTTCGGCGAGTGCGATAACGACCTAGCGTGTCCGACCACAAACGCAGCGAGGAGCAGGGGCTCGATATGGATCATCTCTGTGGAGCTGAAAGGCTGCACTGCCTGCTGCTCCTGCTCCAAACACAAATTAGTCAACAGTTTTTAAAAACCAGGATATTCAAATGGAAGAAATCACGGAGGCGATCATTTCTCTCTTTTTAAGTTCCCATAAAGCTGCAGGCAGAGAGTTGTTGGCTTTGAAATACAAACAGGAGAAGGCTGCCCACTCTCACAAAAAGCCAAACTGGCTCTGACTGGTTATTAATTACCATTCTGTTAATGGAGCTCAAACGCAGCTCCAGTAAAGAAGATCTGTTCTCTCATTTGCTTTATTGCAGTTTGTTGAATAGAATCTATTCCTGCATTTTTATTATTTSTCATCACACCTTTATTATAATTACACCTCACTGTCTTCATCAGGTCTTTGTTATTCACCTGACACCACAAAAGTTACTAATTAGACGAGTTTTCCCTTTATTTTTTTATTTTATTGTTTTTCTTTTTCTCTAGAAATGATCTCTCAGTCTCAATATTGTTGTTTTTCTTTCCGCCGCTACCATCTTCAAAGGTGAACAAACTCACATTTAAAGTGCCTGTGACATCAAAATTTTTGTAATGATACAAATGCATTTTTGGAAATTTAACACTGAGAACATATTACAAAATAATTTTCATGCTGCTGAGATGAACAGTTGTTGAGATATTTGCATGTGAAGTAACAGGAAGTGATGTCAAAGGGGAAGGTCTGCATGAAAACAGAGATAAGCTAAAATGCTCAACAGCCCAGACTGTGGAGAGGAATCAGATGTTTTAGGTTATTTTGAGTCACTATCAGACAGAAACAAAAAAGAGTCAGAGTTCAAATAATATTGTTTCAGTAAATAAAGACCAGAGTTATTTTTCTTAAAGGAGTTCCCCTTTGATGTCACTTCCTGTTTCCCTTTTGCCGAGCCAAATTCAAAAGAAAATAGGCYAGTTATGTGTCCAAATGGGTAAAATAATGTGTGGTATGCCAAGTTTCTTCAATAGAAGAAAGTTTTCTATGACTTTTTTTATCTGAAGGATAAGCATGTCACAGGCACTTTAAAGATTTGTGTTATCAACCTGGGCTCAAACCTACAAGACAGCGGGACTGACCACCAATCCACCGTAGCCCCTAGACATGACCTTACATTAAACAAAATTTAAGGGTGCGTTTCAGTGGATGTAACTTGGGTCTAAAATATAGACAAGCCCAAGATTTTCCCCGAAAATTACAAATTTATTGTTAAAAGCTCTTCCAAAACTACTTTTTGTCCGAGGTAAGACCAATATTAGAGCATATCTAAACAAAAGCACCAGCATATAATAAATGTGTTTTTTCAGATGAAGAACTTTTCTATCATATTATTCTTACATAATGAATGAATGAATCACAAAATCAGAAAAGGTCTTTGGACCGTCTCCATGCAGATGCAGACAATAATGTCTACAAATGAGAATAAAATATGTTCAAATAAATCAGTAAAACCTGCAAAACAAAGTGAAAATTTAACTTTTTATTTGTGTCAGTCTGAAGCTTTTGAACTAAATGAGGTTTGTGGTTTATTTGCCAGATTTTTTTGTTATTCTGGCAGAACCATTATAGATGTAAACTACAAGTGTTGAATTTTTTTTATCAGTTTAAAGAACAGAAAGTGTCATCCAACATATCTGCCTGGAATCATCTTTTCATTGCTTTGACTCAGTCAAGATGGACTTCCACAATCCAGATCAAACCTCCTGATCTGGAAAACAATTTCCTGATTTTTTACATCATGATGGATCAAACTAATGTTAAAAATGTGCCATTTTAATTTAATGTAAATATATATATATATTATTTGTTACCTTGATTGACAACAGTTCTGTGATTAAAGGCAGGAAAGTAAACTCCTCGCCGTCCCACATCTGCTTGTTGCTGACTTCCACGCGACCTCGTAGCCTCCAGCGCTGACGCCCGTAACGCATGAGGACCTAACAGCGGCCAAAAATAGTCAAAGGTAAAGCTGCTGGAAGAAAAGAAAAAGGGTGGGAGTGGGGGGTCCAGAGTGTGAGCTGCTTTCTCTACCTCGTACTGATCACCAGCGCACAGTCGTGCAAATCCAGCAAGGCCTGAAACATCAAAAATGTAAAAAAAAGAAAAAGAAATGAGAACTCGACTAAGAAAAGAGCAAACGGGAAGTCACGTTAGAGCGGAGAGTGACTCACCCTTCATCTTAACATGAAACTCTCCCATCTGGCTTTCCAGCTCGCTCTCCAAAGAGCACATGTGCTGCGAAAACAAAAATGAGAAGCGAATTCAAACGATCGTTTTATCTCACAGACACCTCAACAAAACAGAGTTAATAGAATCCAAGGATCCAAATTGTCCTCTGAATGTTGAAAAGTGTGTCATTTATTCAGTAATGTAAGATCAAGTTAGCTAATAGCTACATTTATTTACATTTGTTTTTTTAGAATGATTTTTATCTTTATAAAATGTGACCTGCCAATTCAAATTTCCCTATAAAAAACTATAATCATGAGCCTTTTTAAAAATTAATTAAAAAATGTCAGTTTACAGTAATTTTCACAACAGAAGCATACAAAGCTATTAATATTTCTGTTTCCAACTTAATTCACTGTTAGATGTCCTAATTTACTCAACATGTGATTCTCCAGCTCAACTAAACTTCTATTTTTATTAACAATAGTTCCTGTTTGCAAATTTCCTTACTAATGTGTCACTTTTTAGATGGCACACTAAAAAAACTTTAAGTTTAAGCAGAATAATCCCTTTATAGAAAATCTAAATGTATTTTTAAAAAAGGCATAAAGATATTGCAATATGTAGCAATGATTTCCTTTGAAGTTCAGTTATTTAAAAAGGTCATGATTGCAGGAGTAATTTTTTATTTTTGTTTTTGATGTGCGCAAAAGACGCCCATTGTCCAAAACCATGTTGATGTTTTCATTTGATGATTTCATCCAAAAACTTCCCAGAAACATTTTTTTCTCATCCCATTGCATGCAGGTGTAAAACCAGGCCACATTTTTAATGGTTTCCCAGTTTTACTTAATCTTCATATTTAAACTAATGCAACAAAAATTGCTAACAAAATAAGTTATAACACAAAAAATAACCCTAAATAAATTAAACAACTAATGATATTTTCAAGTGTAAAGAAAAAATACACTTAGCTAAGTTTAGCCACTTAGCTAAAATGCTATTATAAACTGAGGGTGATCAAATGAAAACAAATGGGGGGCATGTCAAACTGAAAGTCGTTCATTATAAGTGTAAAAAAGATTCAGAGGTTGTGTTGACACCCGCTCACTTGCCTCTGTATATTCCCTGTAGCCCTTGTTAGCTTCGCTCAGACTCTCCCGAGCCTCCCTGCTGCCGGTGGCCGAGTTAAACGCCGCCACCATCTTACTCGCTCCGTCACGCAGCCGCCGCTGTATACAGTAAGCATCGTACAGCTCTTCAACCTGGAAACACAGCGGAGGTTTCACCGCAGGGTTGTAAGAAGTAACAAAAAAAAAAAAAGGAAGAAGAAGTGCTGAACCATTACCAGCCCTTTTTTTTCATTTTGTGCAAATAAAGTGTATTATTTAGCAGTGGATCACTGAGCAGACTGATCCGTTTTCAACAAATGTTCTCAAACCTTTGTTGGGTTTTTCTAAAGCTACGTTATTTTACATATCTGCCTGCAGCTGCTTAAAATCACAATTAGAGCCACTAAAACCAAAACAATGGGCCTAAAACCTGCTCAAGTTTTCCACAGAAATGAGGACAAACCGCAGATTTTTAGTCAATCTGCTGACCCTTGAAAGTAACATATTATTAACACCATATCAACAGACGAAAAAAGTCAAACTATGATCAGTTTAAGTGTAACAAACACACCTTGCTGAGGTGAAACTCCAAACGACGCATAAACCTCTCTATGGCCTTCACTTGCTGCAAAAAAACAAACAGATTATATTTCAGCTAAAAGGGAAATTGCTCTTGCGGTTTCCAGGGAAAAGATCAAAACTTACCTTATCTAACTCATACAAAGACCCCTGAAAACAAACAAACAAAAGCAGGGATTAGAAAGGCTCGCAGTGAGAGAACAGCTGATCAGTTCAGCTTTGATCAGGTGAGCTCTTCTCACCAGGCGACTGTTCTTCTTGTTCTCCCTGATCTGCTGACCCAGACTGTCCAGCTCCAGCTGGTGGACCTGCAGGTACGACCTGACGACAAGAGCGCATCATTATCAACTCTCCGCCCCTTCTGGAGACGGCGCGAGCAGAGCCAGAGGTGTGTCCACTCACTGTAAGCCTCGCCGTAAGGCAGCGTAGACTTCGTCCAGCCGCTCGGGCTGGGGGGTTTTAGTGGGTGGCAGCTTGGTGGAGCCCGTGAACATCCTGCTTCCTTACAAGGCACGTTGCTTTTGGATTGAACGGAGCTGAGAGAGGAAAAGGCGGGGACGGGGAGAGATTTATCTCCWGCTGAAGTTCAGGATTTATTTCAAAAAGACCGAAACGAGAGGCACAAAATGAAAACGACTCACCTGCTGAGTGGAGACAAAGTATCACTGCATGCTTGGAGCGCTGTGTGTGGCACTGTGGCTTTAACAAACTGAAGGACATGACCTGTAATGTTCACATAAGAAAATAAAAGAATCATCAGAAACYACAGTCTTCCTCCTCTCCTCGTACCTCTCCCCACTCGACAGAACTTCGATGATTATCAGAGGTGGGGGGAAAAAAAAGGGGGAATGCAAGCCGCTCTTTCACTTCCTCAGTTTTGTCCTGCCTGCTTTGTTGAACGTCTGAGACGACAAGCAACTTGCAGCCGCAGTGGCCACCGCTGACAGCAGCAGGGAGCGCAGTCTGCTTCTCTTTTCCCTTTCCTTCCCCGGCCCTCCACCCCTCCTCTGCGCCTCCACATCCAGCAGCAGAGGACAGGAAGTCTCATGGCCGGCTCTACAACAGGAAATTCTACACTGAAGTTTGGCCCGAGTATATAAAAGCATCCCTCCTCAGGAGTGTGTGGCTGTGAAACCTCCTCAGCACTCACGTCTGAGCGATGCAGCGGTTTTTAAGGGCGAACCTACAACAAAAGAGGGGGTCGTGCCCAACCTAATAATCCACCCACAACAGAGATTACAGACTTAAAGTAAATCTGTCAAGCAGGAGGCCGGGCTGGACGGAGCGGCGCTGACATCTGCTCCGCATTGTGGAGAAATGTGTCGTATTCTAACAGATGGAGAGAGGCGCTCCACCTGTTGGAGCCGCCRAGAAGGAAAACACGCAGATTACGCACGATCAAAGCGGCATTGGAATCGATGCCGCGGCTGATATGAGATTAATCTGCTGCTCTTCTACGGTCCACCKCTTATCACGGAGAGGATTAAGTGGAGTCGGGTTTAGAAAACTGCCAAGAGAAGGTGCTGCAGGGGCTTTCGCAAACAAAAAAACAAAAAACAAAAACACCACCACCACGGACCACCTCAAGTACGGAGCGGGGCGAGAACTCATGTGAAAGTTTTCACACCGACACACAAGAAGAAGAGAGGCCCCACGTCCACGCACAAACACTTCAGACCCACACATATCCTCAGCAGACCACAAGGACAATTATGAAAGCTAATCGAACGGTTTCCTCTCCGTTAGATGTGCTTTGAGCCCCTTCCTTACTGTGGAGGTCATTAGCTGGATTAATCCTCAGTACAGAGCAGCGTGAACAAAGAGGACACTGTTCACAAACACTTCCCAAGACTGGAGTTTGTTAAAAAAGAAAAAAAAACACCTATAAAACAGCTTTAATGCACTGTTTAACWGCATACATTACGTAGTTATGTTCAGGCAAACTGAGGGCATTTTAAGAAAAAAGAATGGAGCTTTGGTCAAACCTTGAAAACAACCTCAGACTATAACTCTTAGCTACAATCACACCAAATTTTAGCTCAGTATCTGTAAAACTGACTCAATTACAACTATTTATCTGTACTGTAAGGTCTGTTAGCTGTGGTGGCTATCTTGAATCGAACTGGCTTAAAAGGTTAATCAGATGTAGACGTGATTAGTTCCTGAAAGTTTCATGTAAATACATCTGTAGTTCAATCAGGTGACTTAGCAGAGCGCTCTGTTTACATTTAGCACGGACCCGCATTTCAGAATGGCATTTGTTATTCATCTGAAAAGCAACTCTCACATTGTACACCATTTGAAATAAATCAGGATAACCACAACGGGGTCCCAAAACATCAAAATGGGGTCCTGAAAAGATTTTCTGAAATAATTATATTAGAAAATAGCAACTAACAACATTTTTTTTGCATTTGTTGTTACAAAAGCATGAGATTAGTGTACTTAAAATAGACAAAAATAGCATAATGAATATTGCTATGTTCTTTTTTTTTTTTTTAACATGAAGACAATGTTTATCATCCAACAACAGCTGGGGGCTCAGATTACAGCTGCTGGTATTTTGAGGGTCAAAAGTGGAAAAGTTTGTGAACCACTGCTTTACTGAAGCTAAAATACAAAAACAAAACCAAAGTGTGATTATTTAGGGATGTTTATATGCAAAAGACATGTAGATGTGTTAGCCATCCCAACAACACTCATCCGTACTGTTTGAGGAAGAGGAACAGGAGGAGGTTAAGGAGGAAGTGGTGTCACAATGAAATGCAGCCACCTCTCTTTTCCAGATTACTGGATTAGCCCTGCCGGGCGGCAGCAGGCCACTGAGGCGGATAAACAGGCTCACTCATCACAGCAGTGATTTTCTTTTCTCTCTCTCTTTTTAACAGAGGATGGAGCTCAGACCTGGCGAACTTAAGAGACCCCTCAGTGCCAGACTTTGTATTCAGTTCATATCCCACCCCAGCCCACCAGCCAGGAGCCCATCATCACACAGGCCACAAAAAGTCTCCTCCCGTCCTCAGGGTCCCCCACAATGGAGGTTTCCTTACAAAGTCTCAACTCAAACACCAAAACTTAGAGGAATAAAAACAAGATGCAGTAAACCAGAACCTGCTGGAGGTGGGGGGGTATTATCATGGACAACATCAGCGGAACAACTTCACGCCCGACGGACTCATGCCCATGTACAGAAAAACTGTCACGGTTCTTGTTGTGACCTTGGGAATTACATAAAAATCATCCCCCTACCTCTGTTTTAATGTCCCACGACCCGCAGGGTTTAACCGGGATCCCATTCCCGACGAGATGCTGCGGGCTGTTCGCAGAGGGTTACAGTTATTCTGGGCGCTGTCCTTCTCCTTGATTTCGCAGTTTTTGTGTTCGGTCTGCTGTTAAGCTAGTTGTAGTTAGCCGCTACTACTTCCGGTTAACTGACTTCAGCGTAAAAGCGCAAAATATATAAAAAAAAAACATTTTTGAGTCAATTTTTATAAACCTAAATTACTTTTATCTAATTTTAAAGGAAGATTTTTGTAGTTTTTGTGATA